GGGGGGGGGGGCTTTTGTTTTGGATGGCGTGGCATGTGCGGCTTAGAAAGCTGGCTGGCGACAGGTGGGGCAGGTATTGGCCGTCTTGAGCAGCGCGACTGCACACTCTTGGTGAAAGACATGCACACACGGCAGAATCACCGCCTTCTGATCCTCCCTGAACTGGGCCATGCAGATCGTGCACTTGTCCACGCGCACACCCACGCAGCTCAGCTTCTGCTTGACCTTGCCCTCGCGCGTCACGCGGCGCGCATCGCACTCGATCCGCCCCACCGACAGCGATCCTAGCTCCGCCGCCGTCGCTCCAGTCGGTTTCGCAGGCCCCAGAAATTCCCCAATCGCAGAAAGCTGCTCATAGTGCGCACCCTCCCGCTCCAGTTGCGCTACCAGCAGGTCAAAGTCCGTCAGGCCCAGAGAGCCTTCCCTCGTAGGCAAGCGACGAGACAGTGTCGAGTCGACGGATGGTGTCGAGGCCGAAGCAACCTGCGATGGACAAGTAGAGTCCGAGCTGTTGCCCTGCACCAAGGGTCCAGGCGAGCTGGATTGGGTCCAGCTATCTCGACCTGAGCTGTCTCCACGCTGAGCAGCAGGGATCGAGCCGACCGCCTGCGCTTGAGCAGCTGGCATCGAGCTGTCGGGCGCACCTTGACCCGCCGAGCTCAAGCTATTGGCCCATGGTCGAGATGAGCTCGACGCCGCGTTGGCGCGTTCTTGAGCCGCTGTCGTCGAACCGAAGGTCTGCGACTGATTCGCCGAGGTGGAGTTGTTCGTCCGAGCCTGAGCAGTTGCAGACGAGCCAATGGCCCGTGACCTCGCCAACGCAGCTGAGCTGCTGGGATGCATCTGAGCAGCTGGAGAGTCCGCCGCCTGGTGCACATCTAGGCTGTTTGCGCCTTGACCCGCCGAGCCTGCGCTGTTGGTCCATAGAGGTGCCCGAGTTGAAGCGTCACCCCACGGCGCAGCAGGGCCTGAGCTGTCGGCCCATGTTCGAGGTGTGGTTGAAGCGGAGCCTTGCTTCGCTTCCGAGTCGCCTCCATGTGCACCCAAATACACGCTTGCATGACCAGCTGCGCTCGACGCCTTTGCCCACTGCGCATCGCCCGAGCTGTCGCGTCGACGTTGGCCACCCGAGCTGGAGCCGTTAGCCCATTGCTGAGCAGAGCCTGAGCTGTCCGGTCGACGCTGCGAGTTCGAACCGTTGCCTTGTGCATAGGTCGCTGTGCTGGCTGTTGAGCTGGTCCTTTCTCCGCCGTACGCCGGCGTCGAACCTCGCGACTGCATCGATGCCCTCTCTTCGACTTCCGACGAGCCGCCATCCCGGTTCTGAGATCGCCTCGTCACGGTGCCGCCCGAATTGCCTTGCTGCTGCGAAGCGCTCGCGCGGGCAGTGAGTCGAGCCGGCTCCGTTGAGCTGTCTGAGCTTGCGGTCGTTCCGCCCGTCAGTAGCTTTGCATCCGTCTCTTCCATCCACCTTTCGCGTGGCGGACGTGTAGGCAGGGGCGGGGGCATTGGCAGCCCTCTGTGCACACTCTCAATCCCGAGCCCCTGCCCCCTCACCGACGGCGGCAGCATCGGCAGTGGCCTCCCCGCCTCGCTGTTCCTCTCCCTGCGCGCCCACGACGCCGCCTGGGCTGCAGCGATCGATGCGGAAAGACCGTTCCTGCTCGCGGCTGCCACGATGTGCTCCTGCGTCATGAGCGGCGATTTGGGCGGCAGGCTCGGCGCGTCTCGGCCCGTGAGCGTGTCCATTGCCACGGTGCGCGGCGAGCGAATCAAACCGCTCGATTCGGGCACAGCAAGGTGCGTTTGCGTCCACGCCGAAGCTGCCTCGTCGATCTGCCGCGCCAGCGCATCCATGTCCCCACTCTGCCTCGGATGCGTGGGCGGGGGAGGAGGAGGTCGCCGTTGCAC